CACACCACACACACACACCACACACACACACACACACACACACACACACACACACACACACGCTTTTTTTTCCCCACTGATGCTCAGGTTATGAGTTAGGAAGACCTTGACAATCACGACGTCTTGGAGACCGCCTCCCTGACCCTTCGCTGGCTTCTGGTGCATGGTCCTTCCACTCCCGTGATTTGCTTTGCTGCAGCCTTGGCCGTCAGCGCCCTAACAACAACGTGCAGAGTGGTCACAGGGGAACACCTTGTTCAGTTCCAGTAAACATGGAAATCCTAGAGACCATGTGAAAGAAAGCCTACCGGGTGTGGGGCAGGGAGAGGGGGTCTGACCAGACCGGGTTCTGGAACTCCGGGACGTTGTTGTTGGGGCGGCCAAGGCCACCTCTTACCATGACCATCGCAGGCGGGCAGTAGTGGAGCCAACTTCCCTGAGCCCCTTTTTGTGTGAACAGAAAAGGGAGCTTCGTGAGCCTTGCCTGCTTCCAGGTACCAAGCACCTCCCCTGCCCACCCCACCCCTCCCTCTGGGCAGAGCACCGGCCCCTGCTTATCAAAGAAATACACAGCAAACAATGCTGGAAGAAAGCAGATCTGAGCTCTGAGGTGGAAAACTAAATTTGTCCATGAAGGCCCATTGGCCCTCCCCCATCCCCTGGGAACTGGATCCACTACTGGCCCAGAACTCTGATGAGGAACCCTGTCTGGATTGGGCCGGAAGCTGGGATTCGATGCTCTGCAGACCAGTGCTCAAAAACATGGTTATTTTTGAGGGACCACCTTCAGTCCAGAACATCGGTGTCTCGACTTCCTCGCCCAGATCCAGTTCACAAGGTAGCCCATCGCCTCTCACATCTGTGGAGGGTCATGCTGGATTTGAACTTTTATCGTGCTTTGTTTGGATGCAAGGAATATGTTTGTTTTCTTCCGTCCCAATCTAGCGCACTACCCGGGGAAATGCATGTCGCAGACCAATTCCACTTTCACCTTCACCACCTGCCGCATCCTGCACCCTTCAGACGAGCTCACGCGGGTCACGCCAAGGTAAGGGACTGTGGCTCTGGGGCGCGTGGGAGTGGGACAAGTTGGGGACGTCCTTTCTCACAAGGTGTGATGGTGGAGGTCAAGAGCCAGGTGTGGTGGCGCACACCTTTAATCCCAGTACTCGGGAGGCAGAGGCAGGTGGATCTCTGTGAGTTTGAGGCCAGCCTGGGCTACAGTGAGTTCCAGGTCAGCCAGGGGTAAATAGTGAGAACCTGTCAAGGAAGAAAGAAGAAGCCAATTACAGCATGGGAACCTGAGTTTGACCTCCATCACCCACGTGCTTGCAACCCCAGGTGGATGGATCCCTGGGGTTCACTGTCTCAAACACGAGGTACATGGTGCCGAAGGAACAATACCCAAGGTTGACCTCTGGCCTCTCTATGTGCTCCTAGACCCACACGCATACGTGCACACGTGCACACACATGCACACACAGAGCCCAGTCCAACAGGCATAGGCGCCTGTAGCCACCCATTCTGGGTCCCGTCTTTCTTTCTGAACCTTGTTTGTTCAGATACAGAGTTGGGTCGGGGCTGGGAAAGCCGCTGTCACCGTCCTCAGTGTGGACTTTTAGGACTTCCCTTTCCCGACTGCAGCCAGCATTCCGCAAGCCCTGGGGATGAGTCGGCACGGTTGTTATCCCAACGCTTGCAATGGAGCGTGGAGTGCTCTCACGGTAGAGTTACTGAGCTCTGTGGAAGCCCTCACATCCCTGGAGCTGACTCCAGGAACTGTTCTCACAGCCAAACTATAATGGCCAGTGTGAAAAAACTCTGGTGGAGTCACATGCCCGCTCTGGCTTGTTCCCCTCTGGCATGCTATCTGGAGAGATGTTGGTCTGTCTGACTTGATTCCAGCCGTATGGCTCCCCTCCCTGCCTTATAGGGAGACAGGAGAATGGACCCCCACAACCCAGGAGAGCGACTCCCCACACACCACCTTCTGTGTGATGCAGTCAAACAGGATGGCAGAGTTAATGGCTGGTGTCAGGGAGGGAGGTGAAAAGGGCCAGCTCAGAGCGCACCCCACGGAGCACCTTAAACTATGGATAATTCTCCACAGGTCTTGTGAGGATGACGGCGAAGCACCCATATGCCCTGTTGAGCTGAGAGGAGATGTAGGGCAGAGAGTCTGAGCCCACGGGCAAGGCAGGGGGTGAGCACACGGCCAACGGAGCCTGCTCCTGCAGGGCCTCGCCGAAGGAGCTGTGTGTGCAAGTGTGGCTGCCACTAACCTGGGGACGAAGGCCTTGGTGTGTCTCTGGGGTTGTGCCTGGTTAACACGGCCTTGACCATCATTACTTCTAATCCAGCTAAACCCCAGACCAGCTGAGTGTCGACACTAATGAAGGCCTAACCAAAGGTCTCACCCGACGGGATCCCTCGATTTCTGCTTTGTGTCTGTCTCCACTGCTTCACTGGGAGATGCTGGCTTCCAGGCCTGATGTCGTTTAGGAAAAAATATTTTTAAAGTCACAGGATACTTGTGAAACTGAGTGTATTTTTGGCTGAAGCTATGGGCCTCAGACCGCCCCGAGTATGTCTTCCCCTGAAAGTCCCATGTGGCCACACTGGGGACCAGGAAAGCCTTGGGAGTGAGGAGTAAGAGGGGGCTGTCTTGCTTGAGTTGGGAAGAAATGCAGTGGAACCAAAACCCCTGAAAACCTTTCTGGGGATGACTGCGTCAATAAGCAGTCTAGAACCTTCTTACCTTCCAGCAGCGGTCAGCGTTTGTAGAGACCTTCCCTGTGCCCTTTTGCACCCCACCTCTCCGGTCCCAGAAGCTGCTGAGGTCTCTCCAAGTGCTCCAACTTTCCAGGGTCTCCCCTCCTGAGCTAGCGTGAGATGAGCTGTTCCACGACCCCCACCCTGTGCCCACAACCTCTGGGGAGACCCTCTGCAGGTGGGGCCTCCTGGCACCCCCAGCTGGTACTTGCCTTTGAGTTGTCTCTCTCTAGAGAGGAGGGCCCCTTCTCCAGAACGGGCTCTGTTCCTTCTCTTCTTCTAGCTGGTACCTGCCCAGGGTACCTGGGCCTCCTGGGGAGAGGTTGCTATGCCTAAGTCCTGGGGACCACTCCGCTGGCCTGTTGCTAGGGAAGCTGACCACTCCAGCTAAGGCCTAAAGCAGGCCACCACTGACATGGGTCCCACGAGGTGGTGGTAGCAGATTCTCCTTTGCTTGCCTGCACTCAGAAGCAGGGCAGAGCTCCCTGAAAGCCAGCTTTGTGAGCAGAATGCTGCTTCTCCCTGCTCCCCTGCCTCGTGGTGGCCTTCCCAGCTGGACGACAGATGCTGTGACCTCAAAGCCCCCAATCAACAGGCCATGGTGAATGGGCAGGGCTCCCTTTGCAGCCATTCAGGGCCAAACACTCTGTGGGCTTTGAACGTGCAGAGCCTAGGCAGACAGATCACGTGAGGTGTGGTTGTCCTCTGCCCTTGCCGCCCCACTGTATCCCAGGGAAGAACGAGCGTGAGCAGCGAGGGTGGAGGGTGAAGGCCGTGCGTGGCCGTTTGTGCTGCTCCCACAGCACAGCTCTGATTGGCATCTCAGGAAGATCAAGGTTTGAGAGAAGAACTATTCTGGGTAATTTGGTTGTTGAAGGGTCTGCCCCGACAGCTGTGGGGCCACTTCACGTGTGACCCTGAGCAGGCCAGCAACTGACCGTGGAGCTGCACCCTTTGCCCAGAGGAGAGGGCTCTATATGCCCCTGCCAGGAATGAGCACAGGGGACCGTGTGCAGCTTCCTGTTAATTGAAGCACAGTCTTATGTAAGGGGGACCCCCTCCTAGGAAATGAGGAGCAGATGCAGACAGAGCACCTGCGGGCACCAGGGTGGCTTCTCTCACCCCAAACCCCTCTGTGCACTCTGCAGGAAGGCAGGGCCACTGATCCCTACAAAGATGCCCGTGGTCTTTCTGATGAATAACCAGACCCCATTTTCTTTCAGCCTTAACTCAGCCCCAGCTCCGGCTTGTAGCAGCACTAGCCACTTGAAATCCACACCAGTGGCCACGCCATGCACCCCCCGGAGACTGAGCCTGGCGGAGTCCTTCACAAATATCCGAGAGTCCACAACCACCATGAGCACATCCCTGGGACTGGTATGGTTACTGAAGGAACGAGGCATCTCGGCGGCTGTGTATGACCCCCAGAGTTGGGACAGAGCCGGCAGGGGCTCCCTCCTCCACTCCCACACGCCTAGGATGGCTGTGATCCCATCCACCCCGCCAAACTCTCCCATGCAGACACCCGTGGCCTCCCCGCCCTCCTTCGAGTTCAAGTGCACGAGCCCTCCCTACAGCACCTTCCTGGCCTCCAAGCCTGCCAGCTCCATCCTGAGGGAGGTGAGGGAGAAGAAGCACCTGAGGAGCAGCGAGAGCCAGACCGACGTGTCTGTCTCCAGCCTCAACCTCGTGGACAAAGTCAGGAGGCTTGGGGTGGCCAGAGTGGTGAACTCAGGGCGAGCACATATCCCCACCTTGACTGAGGACCAGGGACCTCTCCTCTGTGGAGCCACAGGGCCAGCACAGGCTCTTGTTCCTGGGGGCCTGGTGCCCGAGGGCCTGTCTCTGGGGTGCCCCAGTGGCATCCGACGGAATCGCAGCTTCCCCACCATGGTTGGGTCCAGTGTGCAGATGAGAGCCCCCGTGATCCTCACCTCGGGCATCTTAATGGGTGCTAAGCTTCCCAAACAGACTAGCTTGCGGTGAGGCCAGGGGTCGCTGCCCTCCAGGAGACCAGCGTTTTCCTCTATCTGCTCCTCGCCTCCTGTCTCCCACAGAGCACTCACACCCTTTCCCCTCTGAGGTCTACTTCTCCTGAGCTAGACAAATCAACCTTGTGCCTCGTGGGGGGAGAGTAGAACTCCACACGGTGTGTACACAGGCCTTGGGGACCTGGTGTCTGCTCTCTTCCACTGTGCAGGAAGGGATAGCCCAAAAGGTTACACTCTCGAGATGTCACCTGAGCTCACCCGGGGGGAAGGCGGCATCCTTTCTTCTTTACTTTTAAGAAGCACTGAAATTCCCAAGGGTGTTCTTATCCCATGGATAGGAACCTGGTGAATCCTGCATAAGACTGTCGGGTTGCACACCACAGCGCCGCACGGCGCAGGCCACAATGCATCCTCATCCTGTGTCGCTGGCCTCCTTGCCCACCTTGACAGCCCACAGCTCTGCTCACCACCAGAGAGCTGTTCTTCTGTTGTAGGTGGTCCAACTTCATCAAGATCCGCTCTGATGGGTTGTCCGTTCTCAGGTGTGACCCGAAGTCACCCTGTGTCTGTCATCAGCTGACAGGCTCAGAGCCTGACCTGAAAAGAATGTATTTATGCTCTGACGCACCATCAGGCAGTCCCTCTATGTTCTGTGTGACTGATTTTTTCATTTTTAAAAATTTTATTAGCAGGGAAGTCTCAGTACTGATAATTTCTCCTGGTGGTTCTATGACATGGAGATGCAAACGGTGTGCACACTAACTTGCTGATAACATAGCTTATTTCTGGGACCCAGTGTCACAGCCAGGTTGATGGATGACCAGTTATCACTGCAACAGTAGGATCAAGGGGATGGGGACAAGATTGTCAAATCTATACACCGTGGAGAAGAGGGGCGAGTGCCCAGCACCTCACTGCACCCTGGGTCAAGGTTGGTCAGGTCTGGTGGCTGCTGGCGCCTCTCCTCTGAAGGGAGCTCAGGCAGCATGGTTGAGCTCTGTAGCCATTTAGTGGCTATTTTTGTTTGTTTGTTTGTTTTGAGACAGGGTTTCTCTGTGTATCCTTCCCTGTCCTGGAACTTCCTTTATAGACCAGGCTGGCCTTGAACTCACAGAGATCCACCTGTCTCTGCCTCCTTAGTGCTGGGATTAAAGGCGTACTCCAAATTTTTTTTTTAATCCTTGTTTCAAAACAGGAACAAGTTTCCTCCCCATCCCCCAAGCCCTTTGTCTCCTCATCCCATTTCTGTCCATAGGAAAAAATCAGAGGTGCTTATGAATGGGAGAATGAGAAAGTGAGAGGCGGGGCCTGTTGCCGTCACCCACTCAGTTACAGTTTTATTTATTATCTGTGTGTGCTGTATTTTAATCAGATTCCTCCCCCCAGCCAGAGTGTGTGTGTGTGTGTGTGTGTGTGTGTGTGTGTGTGTGTGTGTGTGAGAGAGAGAGAGAGAGAGAGAGAGAGAGAGAGAGAGAGAGAGATCCCACCCCAGGTATAATATTTATTTACTTTTGTCTGAATATGACTGTCCATCTGTGTGTCACATGATCACCTGCCCCAGCCATCTCTCGAAAGGTAGCAAAGCAGCCTGTGTACAAGAAATTGTCACATGGACCCTCCCCCCAGCAAGAGATGTGTCCTTGGATGGAGTGAGGGTCACCTTATATCCACTGAGGATGCTCTGAGAAGGTCCCCAAGCAGCAAGCTTCAGTCCCGCTATTTCAAACTATTTATTCTCCAAACACCAGAGTGCTGGTTTGTCACGTTCTCCGCTCTCCTGCCTGCTGTGGGTGTGCGGTCACTCCAGGTAACTTACCTTTCTATGTGAATGTATTTGAAAGCTGTAGGTAGAATAGCAAAGGAGGGTGACAACCACGCCTTTGAACGGACCGTCCATGTATTCAGAGGAGCCACCCATTTGCGCTGGGAACACCAGTGTGAAAACCGGCATGTTAGAGGTTGTGATACTTAGTGTAGTTAATAAACTGGTGAGCAACATCAAGCAACCACGACCAAAAAGTGTGTTGTAATGCATCAAGATCAACAACAAAATTTTATTCGCTAATGAATATCAATAAAACAAGCTCAAAGGCTGGAGACTTTGGTCTATCTCTTGGTGTGGCTGTGTGTGGATGTGCGCACCTGAATGTAGTTGCCCTTAGAGGCCAGAAGAGGGCAGTGGGTCCCCTAGAGCTGGAGTCACAGGTGGTTGTGAGCCCCCTGACATATGTGCTGGAAACTGAACTCAAGGCCTCTGCAAGAGCAGTAAGTGCTCTTCACCCAAGCCATCTCCCCCTTGGTACGTATCTTTTCACCCAGGAGATTAGCCTCTTCAAAGAGCTGGGGTGTTTGGCTCTTTGGGGACAGTAAATGAAAGGCATATACTTCACATACTATCTCCCTCCCATCCTTCCCCAACAGTTTCCCAGCCAGATCCTGATACACTTTTCGGGACTGCATGCTGCTCCATTGTGTACATGGTGAACACACACATCCTTCTGTAAGCCAGTCCCCACAGATGGTCACAGAGTTGATTCTCGTCTTTCATGATCAAAGCACAGAATGAACAAAAACTTTCACATAAATGATTTTCCACACATGTGTGCACATCACAGGATAGTGTTGAGTTTCCTTGCATAGAGTTTTGCCAAGAGACTTAAGAACCAAGTGAGATAGAGGAAGTGTGAGGAGGAAAGGATAAACTCACTAAGGTAAACACTGGGGGTCTGGTGTCATGAGTGTTAGGGAC